TTGACTAAAGTAAATACTAGAAATGAATACTATAAGGAAAACTATAAATTCTTTAGGCATCTATTCGACGTCTTCCTGCAGGATAGGCTCGGGAACCAAGTCCTCTTGATATGAAATGGTTAAGTAATGAATGAGCTACACTAACTCAGTAAAGAATGTCACACTATCTCACTGTCACAGAAGTAAATATTGGTAGAAAATAAAAATGACCAATGGAGCATAATTTATAATAAATTTATTTATCAATAATAAAACCTTTTACTGTCCACCTATCTCGGTGAGATTCATGAAAACAACTTATGAAAACAATAACATTATAATATCATGAAATCATATGCACTCTGTAACATAACACATATCATACTTTTAATATTTCAATCATCAAACAACAAATTTTCTCTTTTACTAGCCTATCAGTATCCATGGGGATCTATAGGGGTTCTCGCTACACGTGAATCATTCATTTTAACAACTTAATTCTAGGGCCGTCTCCATACCCCGTCTGGTATGGGTGCCAAAACAATAAACCTCAATACCCCGTCTAATATGAGGGTGAAGCAAGCCGTCTCCATACCCCGTCTGGTATGAGCGCCAAAACATTTAAAGTCTTCATACCCCGTCTGGTATAAGAGACAACGTTCCCGGTAGGGTCCCCTATGGACCTTGTCCGTCCACAATCTCTCAGGATGTCTAGTGAGGCTGTTAACCTATCCATTTATCAACTCAATCTCATTCCTATTTGTTCTTAGTCTCAATTACCCAATCAACATGAATACGTAAACCAATAACGAACACTAAACCAGGCAAACATAACATCGGGTTCACAATAATCAAACCATAATAAATTAAACAGTGAATCATGCATACGAAGCCACAGAATAAAGAAATCAGATACTACACTGCATTTAGACTATAAAATAAGTCAAACAGGAACTGACCAAAAAATATATCAGATTCGGGTTCCATTAGCAACCTTAATTAATTATACATATCCATGAATCTATAAAATACCGTTTATCATTTATTAGACTTTAATACCATGATAGGAAATAGGGTGAGAGATCCTTACTTGATTCGAAGTCTAAAATCGGTTTTTTTTTTCACTGTGCCTACAGGCAGTCCCTAGATTCCCTGAATTTTTTTTCGAGAACTGAAACACACTTCCGGTACCTGCACATGTCCCCAAAAAACTCCAAATCAGATTCAGGGCCTCCTTGGCCAATTTTAAAATTCCGGCATGGCGGCTCCGCCGTGCTCTTGCACCGACGCCGCTGCTTGCGGTGGCAATCCGCCTCGGGTTGGCCGTTTCGGCTGTTTTCAGTCGAATTCAGCCAAACTTGCATTGGTTCCTGTGATAAAACACACGTAAGGCCCTCGGTGGGCCGAAAAACTCAAAAAATTGAGACTTACCGGCGGCGGAGCTCTCGGGTGCGGCAACTCCTCTGACACGAGTCGTGATTTGGTATTTTGCTCTGGTCAACCTGTAGAGGAAAGGATGGTGGTCACATTGGTGTAAAAATTACATCGAACGGGAATCGGAAAGGACCTCATTGAAGGCAAAAACTGAGAAAACCCTTGGCAGCACCGCTGGGATTCGGCGGTGTTTTTCGACCAATTGGCCAGTGGTTTGGCTCTGATTTGGCCACAGAGGAGTTCAGCATCGAAATCCGAGCCAAGGGGAGAAATTTTACCTCGTTTGGCGGCCGAAAAGTGCTCCGGTGCGGCAGCGGGTGGCGGCAGTCGGTTCCTCCGGTGGCTGGGCTGTCTTCTCCGACGAGGGCTCTGGCGGCTAGGGTTTGGGGTTAGGTGTGGATGAGATTATTTATAACATTTCTCTTTTAATCTGAGTCGTCTATCACGATTTAATCTGGACCGTCCGATCGCGATTAAATTAGAAATGAATCTGGACCGTCCATCGCGATGCGATCTGGGCTGTCCGTGCACGATTCAATCTGGGCCGTCCGCACGCGTGCAATCCAGGCCGTCCGTGCGTGCGTTTGATCTGGGTTGTCCGTGCGCGCGGGAACGGATCTCAGTCGTCCGATCGTGCGCACGTGGATCGCTCACGTGGCCCGTTCTGCGTGGCCTTCCCGCGTCAGTGTCTCTGCCACACGACATGTCTTGGTTGGCCGAAGCTGCTGACCGGGCTGCTGACGTGGCACAATTTTTTTAAATTACGTTTTGACCTCTAGTTTCTGATTTTCTTTTCAAAAACACCCCTAGAATCCGAATTTTCACCTTTTTTTTTTCAAAATTGTTTTCAATTAAACCCCAAAAATAATTTTACCCATTTTTATCATTATTATTATTTTTATTTTTCATTAAATTAAATTAAATTAAACTAAATTAAAATAATTATATTATTACTTAAATAAATAAATAAATAAAAATAAAATTATAATAATAAAAATAAAAATAAAAATTAGGGTGTTACATCTAATGCATTATAAACAAATCTAAAAGTTTGGGGACTGTTTTATAATAAAAAGTATATATAAGAATAAAATGTAATGTTGACTAAAGTTTGGGAACTAACACAATTATTTAACCCAAATATTCTGATTTTATTTCAATGGCGATAATTCATTTCAATATCAAAGTTACTATGGAATTTTTTTTTTATAAATAAATTCAAACATCACATTTATTTTCTTTTCCAAAGTAAATCTAAAGGATTTAATGGGAATTTAGAATTATGATACGAGATTCAATAAATATTTTATTTCAATTAATCATTGTATATATTTTTAGTGCATTAAAAAAACTCATTAACTTATAACCAAAATAAAAAAAAATAAAAAAAAAAAGTACTTTACACTTTCTGTACAGAAAAATTTAGTTCTTTAGATTTTTCATTAATTCTTATTTGTATAATTTATGGAAATATAATTTATTTATTTTTTAATTCAGACCAAAAATTTAGATTGAACTTAATTTTTGATTTAGATTATATTAGATAATATCAAATAATATTTGATCATGAAATAAATCCATTCGTAAGAAAATACAAAAAAATAAAAAATAAAAAAAACTTTGGTCTATACGAGATTATACTTATATTTTCGGATCTATCCCAATCTTCATTTTGAATCTTCCCCTTTAATTAATTATCAATCTGACTTATTTTGAAATTCATAAATATCCGTATTGGTTTATTATTAATTTTTTTTTTTTTTTTTTTTAATAAATTATACGTATTGATCACGGCTTCACCCCTTCTGACTGTTCATTGTGTATGTCAATTACAAAATGAATGAGCACCAAAATAATGTCAATTAAAATTATTTTTAATCTAAAAAACGTGTAGTAATTCCTTATCTCTCGGTGATAATTGTCTTTATAAATATGATTATAAATTTTAGACATTAAAAAATTTAAAATTAAGTCAATAATATAAAAAAAAAAAATATTAAAATATTATTAGTAATAAATTTTTATTAGTAATATGAAAATTTATATTTACAGTTAAATCTGTAATTTCAAAAAAAAAAAAAATTCAAAGTATTTGGATTTGTCAAACCATCTAGGTTTACGGTTTACCTACAATTTTTTGAATTTTCTTTTTGCCATTTTTTACCAGATAGTTTCCTAAAAATCCAAAATTCCGAAACAAAAGGAAAATAATTTTGGATAAAAAAAAATTAGTCAAGAAAAGAACAGGGCAATATCGTCATTCCAAACTGTCCCAGCCAATGATCCACCGCGTTTCTCTGCTTCAGAGATTATAAACTCCCTAAACTACCCTTCCATCCCTATCTCCCTCATCCCCTTACGCCCCACGCGCTCACAAATAAAACTCCTCTTTCATTCTTCTCCTCTCATTCCATGCACTCCCCTCCTCTCCCCCCCCTCCCCCTCTCTCCCTCACTGCTTCTTCTCCATCGTATACCGATTCGGATAAAATTATAATTATATCGATATATAGATATAGATAGATACAGATAAGTTTTATTTTATTTATTTATTTTATATTTGATTCTGAATCGTGGCGGTTGTTTTGACTCCGGCCAAGTGATGACTCGGCGGTGCTCGCATTGCAGTAACAACGGGCACAACTCTCGTACGTGTCCTACGCGCGGTGGCGGCGCGTGCAGCGGTGGCGTGAGGCTATTCGGCGTTCGCTTAACCGATGGCTCCATCATCAAGAAGAGCGCTAGCATGGGGAACCTGTTGGGGACACACTACCATTCTTCTTCCTCCAACACCGCTTCGCCGAACCCCGACTCGCCTCTCTCGGATCACGTCCGTGACCCGGCTAATGTTCCCGAGGGCTATCTCTCAGATGACCCGGCTCATGGCTCCGGGTCATCCAACAGGCGCACGGAGAGGAAGAAAGGTACTGCTCAATATCTTCCTCCCTCATTTTCTGAGCTTCTAATTTCTCTCGTTGATGGATATATTAAGTCTGAGACGATGAGTTTTGTTTTCTCATGGCGGCTTGGGTATTATATTTGTGAATTGCTTATATTCCTCGTTGTTGTTCTTGTCTTTTATCTCCGTTTTCGGCGGGTGTGCTTTTATATATTCAATCACTTTTTTATGAAGTTAATCTTCCATTTTTATTATTTTTTCTTTTTCGAGTAGTTTTATTTCTATACTTTCAATATGAATATCTGTTTTTCTTAAGAAAATTATAATTCCATATCAAATTCTATGGTTGTATTTCTTTAAACGAAAAATTGGTTGATGCAGTGTTTTGGTGATTTCATTTATATTACAGGATTTGAAACATTTTATCGTTCTTAAATGTTAGTTCAGTTTTGAGTGGGAAATGAAATAAATTCACCTTGCTTCTGCTCTGTTTTTGGTTTTCTTTAAAGGGGCTTTTTGCTTCTTCATAAATACCCCACGTGTTTATATTACCGTGATGCAATGCATTGCCCCCCATAAAAAATCATACATATTGATGTATTTGTGTCTGTAACATTTTCATTAAATTCCAGATGATGCTTGTTTCATTGTCATTTGGCTTCATTGGTGCTCATGGGTTTTTTAACAAAATTTATCCTGCTTGTCCCTCATATCCCTGGCTAAAAAGTCTGCATTCTTTCAAGTTTCAATGTTTTCTACTGGTTAGACTGGCAACGGTTGTTCTTGTGACATAGCAGGGATTTCTTTTCTGGGTATTGGCTTTTGCAGATAATTAGTAGATGCAGAGGTACAGCAATGCCTTTAATCATCAAAAGCAGAAATTATTTAAACAGGACATAATTTGTTTGAGTTCCCCCCATAATTGTTATCCAAACTAGTTTAATGGGATGGAGATATTGCTGAGTATAGTTGAGTTGTTCAGTATCTATATGAAAGCCATCCAACTCACATTACTGCTATGTTTCTTTACAAGTATCTTCTGCAAAATTAAAACCTTGCATTTGTCTTTGTGAAACTCAATCAGATGCACTTTGCTTAGTTTTCTAAAAAATTTGTAAGTGTTACCATGTCAAGTTAGTAATGTTAGGTTATAAAATGATATACATATGATTGCAAAATATGTCTAGGAAGCTTGTACTTTATTTAGAGATTTTGAACTCCATTATTGTTGTTCCAATTAATCTCCTTACTACACTAAGTTGAGGTCTAGCAGATTAGTTAAAAGACCTTTATAATATGTTTCATATGATCTTAAACGATTATTCAAATATCACCTTATGGGGTGAGCTGTATTGTCGGGATATATTTCTCTACAAGTTAACAAAGAGAGTGGAGACTTCAGTATTGTTGATAGATTGACATTATCAGGTAGTTTATTCTGGACTGATGTAGGGAATGTGGTGTTTTCTAGATAACGGTTTACCTTTTCTATGTCTAACGCAGTTGTTTGGTATACTACATCAGTTCTACACTGAAATGGCAAAATTAAATTGAATTATCGAATATTGGGACACCTATTTCATCTTGCATTATACCATTGCTAGACAGCAGCTTATGGCATGGTTTGCATCTTAAGGTGATTTCTTCGCTCCATTTCCTTTGGATGTCTTGGCCCTAGAGTTAATGAAATTTTATATCCATGAATATATTATTTTCTGCCAATAAAGCTACTATTCATCCATTTGATCATGAGAGCTATTGGTTCTGTTACATTTTTTTGTTTGGATGGACCTAGTAGTCCCTGTTGTTTCTTGGTCACTGGTTTTCCTCCTTATGGATTTGGCTGATTATTTGTGATACAAAGGAGGATATGAATGGTTGTTTTCTCTATTTTTCTTGCTTTTGCATTTCTTCCTGTTATGTATCATAATTCAAATCCTTAGTCTCTCTATGTTGGCTGCAGTTTGCAACTAAACAATACATATGCAGACCTGCTTCCTTTGCTAAAATTTCTTATTTAGTAGTTAGATTATAGAGCAGGACTCTTGTCACCAATGATCAAAGAGTTTCTGTTTGTTAACTGGATGTGGTTTTACTCTCAGGTATTCCATGGACAGAAGAGGAGCATCGATTGTTCTTAATTGGGCTTCAGAAACTGGGGAAAGGTGATTGGCGTGGTATAGCACGAAACTATGTTGTTTCAAGGACTCCCACCCAAGTGGCTAGTCATGCCCAGAAGTATTTCATTCGGCAAACCAATTCTACCAGAAGAAAAAGACGTTCCAGCCTCTTTGACATGGTTCCAGATGATATGGTTTGTACTGGTCTCTTTACTATTACTTTTACATTCTCCACGAGTGAATATGTATATGCACTTGTTACTTTTCTCACACACTGGATAAACATTGAGGGTTGGGGAGAGCCTTGTAGAACTCTTTGATGCAGCATGTATGTTATGTCCATGTTTTGTTTCTCTATTGTAATCAATTGACCTGTACAACTGATGTTGTCCATGTACTTGTTCATGTCTAAGAAATTAAGGCAATGATTCATTGTGTTGGTAGAGGGAGATGAGTTTGATGGGCTGTTTATCTGCTCTGCAGGTCACAGATACACCTTCAGTGCCAGAAGAACAGGTATTGTTGCCTTCACCAAGTGGAAGAGAAGCTGATAATGGAAATTCATTGCCTTCGTTAAATCTTTCGCTCAAAACAGAGTTTGAACCGATGGAAGAGACAATTAAAGAAGCTGAAGAAATTCTCACACCATCAACTAGGTTTGCACCCATTATGCCTGGATTCTTCCCAGCTTATCTACCTGTGCCTTATCCTATTTGGCCCCCAAATGCTGTTCCTTTCGAAGAACAGAAGGGTGTAGAGACTTCTAAGCATCAGGTCCTAAAACCAATTCCAGTCCTTCCGAATGAGCCTGTCTATGTTGATGAGCTGATTGGCATGTCTCATCTCAGTATAGGTGAAAGAGGGAAAGACCACAGAGAGCCTTCGCCACTATCTTTGAAGTTACTCGGTGAGACATCGAGACAGTCAGCATTTCATGCAAATGCTTCTGTAAATGGATCAGATATAAACAAGGGTACCAATGCAATTCAAGCAGCTTGAGTGTTGCTTATTTTCTTTTTTTATCTTCTGATCAGGGTGACATTCTGTTTTACTTTTCTAATTTGATGATAGTATTTACTGCATAGGTTATGATTGATACCGCCAGAAATAGTAATTATTTTTTAACTGTAAACAACTAGTAGTTCAAATAATTCAATCAGTTTAGCAACAAAATGATCTCTGAAGTATATGAACTGCAGTTTGATACATCTTGTGAGTAGTTGAAGAATTACTTGCCATTTTCTTTTTTCTATGATCATTCATGCCTTTTGTATTATCATTTTAGTACAGTTACAGATTTATTGGTATTTTATTTTATTTTTCATATGAAATTCATAGCCTTCTTTTAGAAAGATTGTTTATTGGTGAAAAAACTTTGAAATTTAAATCTGACTGCTAAAGTTTTTAATTACGAAAGACTTAAGGTGTAATTGTTTTAACAAAATTTGCATTATTTTGCAAATGGAGAAGTATAGGTTAAAAATATGAAATTTATATTGATGCCTAACAAATAAATCAACTTTAGACATAGAATATAATTGGAACCTTACCCTTTTCTTAATCTATAGTTTTGATATTAATTACCCATCAAAAACTGTGTATTTCTGCACTCTTATTAAACAACTCTATTTTTAACTCTTCATAGATTTATTAAATAACATTTATTTATTTTTTTCAAGTTTAGCCCTAAAATAAATATGAGAATTCCTATTATTATTCTAAAATAGGAAAATACTCTATATGTAATGTTGGTTATACATAATTAATTTGCATTTGTGTATTTTATAATATTTAATACAGTTACCTAAGACTTGAAAAAATCACTAACAAATAATTTTTTATTAAAAAAGACTGTGACTTTATTTTAAAATATTTTAATTTTTATTTAGGAAAAATGTAATTCTAATACTTATTTTAAAATAGAGTATAATAAATTTTTAATTTTTTTATATTTTTAGTTAATTTTCAACCTACATATTTTTTGTGAAACAATTTTAAATTTATGTCCAATTTATTAGTTAGATGAAGATACAAAAAGCTAAATATATTAGAACTTAATTCGATAATATACCATATTGGATAATATGTTATA